CCTCACATATACTAATGTGCCACAAACAGGACTTTAATATCACCAACCATTCCCATTTTCTTACGGTATATCCATATAAATGGCCCACCCTGTATATGTTACACCCTCTGGGTTGGATACTTGGATATGTCCACATATGTGAGCTGTCCTGGGTTCAAATTACTTTGGACACAGACGAGCCAAGGTGGCATTTATGCCAGTTACTAGTTCTTACTTATTTCACACGAAAAAAGAGTGGTCACATATGCTTTCACATAGAAAGCCTGATGTTCTGAAACCCACTCCTTTCTCTGGTTTGTGCTGTGGAATAACGATGTCCTTTTGGCATTGAGCAAAACACAGCCTTTCTGCTGCTTTTAGGGGTCATCACAGCAGTTCATCTGCCTCCTAGCATCCCTAGCATCCTCCTCTGTCACACCAACCCTCTGTATGTCCTCTATTTTAGAACATCCATTAACCTCCAATAAAAGTATTTGAAACTAATGAAATATTTATTATTGTTCATAACTATTTTGAACCATTCAAAAAAGTTGTTTCTGCACATCTGGATGTGTTTTTTTTAATTGCCTCGTGGATGAAGCACGTGTATGAAGTTTTTGCCACTGCCAAAAGTTTTGATCACAACACTGTTGCCTCACAGATACAACGTTCTGCCATCATACATAACTGATATGCCTATTATGAATGTTTATAATAAGTCATGACTAATGTATTAATGTAATAATTAATGTACTAGTGACAAGGACAGAATTATTAAACACAAAGCAAAACTTCATTTAGTCAGCAACAGAAAACAAAGTCCATCAATATAAACAGAAGTCACACTGAGGATATAAATAGCAACAGTGGAAGACTCAATGGACAACGGGCTATATTGTACACACACACAAGTTACAAACCAACCTGGAAATATCTTCTGAAAGTACGACACTCGAAATTTATTGTATACAGACACTGAAGAATGAAACCAATTTAAACCGCACCCAGCAAATGTATTACTAAGGATTATCACAGCAAATCTGCCACAAAATAACAGATAAAATTCACAAGCAATCATTTTTGATTGGCTAAAAAGAATTGTATGACTAAAAATACCATGACCGAAATATAAATAAAATATTAAAACAACTCAGAAAAACTTAAACCTATTTAATCAAGCAGTAGAACAGATATATGCTGTCCAAATGTGACACAATTACATGATGCTAATGAGTTTAGAGCATTACATGTATCTTAGAAAATAAGTTAATCTCTTTTAATCATGGGTGTGTTTTGTTTCTATCCACCACCATTATTGAATCTGCTTTATCAGCTTCCTGGTATGCTATGCAATCTCCACCTATTGCTCCTGCAGCAATTCCTACAGCTACACTCAATCCAACACCAATTAATATTACCCCAACTGCTCTCATTACAGGGCTTAATGGTATTTCTAAACCCTTCACTATTTTAACTGTAACTTTAAAAACAAATCTGGGAACTAATGTATTATTCTACTAGTGACTCCAAGGACAGAATATTTTTAAAAATACAAAACTTTATATATTCAGGAATAGAAAACAAATCCCAGCATAACCCAATAACATAGGGTTATACTGTACATATTAGTTGCAAACCAACCTGGAAATATCTGCTTCAAGTACAACACTCAACATTTATTGTATGCAGACACTGAAGAGTGAAACCATCTTAAACCATAGCTAGCAGGACAATGTAAGACAAATGTTTTACTGAGGATTATCACAGCAAATTTTCCAAAAACTAAGAGATAAAATTAACAAGCAATTGTTTTTGATTGTCTAAAAGTAAATATATGAATTAAAAAGGCAAAGACAGAAATACTGGAATAACACAAAAAAGCTTTAAACCTATATAGACATTGTAAGTAGCCTAAGAAAAGCAAAGTTATGAAGCAGTAGATAAATGCTGTCCAAATGTGACGCTATAAAATGATGATAATGAGTTTAGAGTATTACATGTTTCTAGAAACATGTTAATCTCTTTTAATCAGGTGTGTGCTTTGTTCTGTTTCAGGGTTTATGAGTCTTCTTCCTGCTTTTACAGCTAGTTCACCAAGAGCCTCAGCTGTGTCCATAACTGCCTCCATTATTGAGTCTGCTTTATCAGCATTATGATATCCTACATAACCTCCTCCTATTGCTCCTGCAGTAGCAGCAAGGCCTGCAACCACACCCAATCCAACACCAGTTACAAGTTTTGCTTGTACCACTCCTGCCACTACAGGGCTTAATGCTGTTTTCAGTAGTGTAATAACAGCTGCAATCATCATTGGCACACCAAGCAGTGCTCCCAACAACATCCCTGTGGTAACACCAGAAGCCATCTTGAGAGCATTGTAGACTCTCTTCTTTGCCTCCTCTCTGATTTCTTCCCATGGCATGTCTCCTGAAGATGATGATCTAATTCTCTCTTGCTGTTGTTGTATTGCCTTCTCCACTTCTTGCAGCATCTCATTTGTGTAACAGCCTCCACCATTGTTCCTCACCATCTCTGTTATTGTGTTGAGCAGCTTTTCCCTCTGCAGTTGGTTGTTTCTGTATTCATCCTGTGGGTTGTTGTTCCAGTGTTTGTTATCAAAGACATGGCAGCGCCCACCACATCTCTCTAACAACTCACGTAGACCGTTGTTGCCCCTGCAAAACTCTTCAATCTGCGTTCCTTCAGGAAGATCGTCACCACGAGTGAAGACAAGCACAGCAAATCTGAAAGCTTCTTCAGAAAAAGACTCTATGATATTGGTAATAACCTCAATCTCTTGATCTGTGTATTTATCCTTTTTTAGTAAAATAAGAAAAGCGTGAGGTCCAGGAGAACACTCTACGACACACCTTGTAATCTCATTTTTCAGCTCCTCTTTAGACCTGCGATTGTCAAAGAAACCAGGAGTGTCAATTATAGTAACAGATGTTCTATTCACCACTTTGGTAGCTTTCGTACACTGACTTGTTCCAGAGGTTGCAGTATGATCTATCTCAAACACTGTCTCTCCAAATATGGTGTTGGCCAAGCTGCTTTTCCCACTTCCAGATTTTCCCAGCAGGACAATCCTCAAGGGTTCTGCACATAAGAGAATAATTACTTCCTAATTTTTTTTCAATATTTGGCATACTTCTCTGTTTCATATCATCAAACACATCTTAATATATATGGAGGACCACAAGAGCCACACGTATTGCGCATCAAAATAAAGAATTCTGTGCTTAAATAATAAATTGTAGAATAAATTCTGCATTTTTAAATGCCACATTAATAAACTGATTTTCAAAATGCTTTTTAAAATGGCGATTCCACTCCTCATTTCAAAATCCATTTCCCTTACTAGTTGGATTAGCAACTTCGTTTTAAAAACCCTGCTGCAAGGTAAATTAGCCACACCGTGAGATGTAAGGAGCTAAAAAGAGTTTAGCAAAAAATGCCTAAAAATAAAAGAAAATATATCTCACCTTCCATGATCAAAAAGGAAGTTAATGTAGTGTCACAAGAATTCAGGTTAATATCAGCACGTCCCTTTTCTGTTGTTGTCGTCTTTGTTGTCTAACTAGACTCTGATATGACACTTATTTTCGTTTCACTTCTGACTTGGCTGCACTCCCAGGATTCTTTTTTTCTTTTGTAGACAGGTTGTAAACAAAATGAACATCTGTGTGAGCAAAGACAAATTAAAATTCCAGTTTGTACAGAGCAAAATGTTTTCTTTACGTTTGGCTGTTCATCAGAAAGCAGACATGTCGGTGTAAACAGTTCTCATCTTGGCTGAATTTTGTCTGCCGTCTCCTCTCAGCTCTGATCTTATAGTTATTGCGTAGTCACATGACTCAGCTGCACTGAGAAGAGTTATGTAGCTGTGATGGAAGGTCTTATGGCTCACCTCACTAAAAAAAGAGCTCAAGGGGCTCTTTGGATTTTTGTTTCTTAAATTATTACTAAAAATAAATTATCTCTAAAATGAATTACCAATGTATAAAATATACATTATATTATATTTAAAAACAAATAACCATCACAAATTGATAAAAAAGGATCCAATGTTTGATCTGTGTGAGTAAAGACTAAAACTGGACTTGAAAAACTTAATATTGTTAAAAGTTTTAAAGCGAACATCTAAAAAAACGTTCTCTGCATGTTTCTCTTTTCACTGCTACAGAGCATGAAAGCAGTGGGTAATCAGGTTTCCAACTAAAACGCTGACATTCATTTTTATGTATTTGAACGCCTGCCAAAACATTTTGATCAGAACAGCCAAAGAATCAGATAAAAGGTGAAATA